AGTTGTTAAAAGAAAAGACTTGAGGCATTTGCTTGTTAACAAAACTAGATAGAGATATTAGTTTCTTAATAAATGAGAGAATTAATTGTGCTCGGAAGAGACAATTATGATATTTGATTTCTTCACTTGTAGATTAATTGCTTATCAATCATGGGATGTTTAATTTATCTGCTCATAAATTCAATTGGTGAAGTCATTAAACTAACACCTTTTAATCATAGATTATCCCTTAGATTTTATTATTTGCATTGATTTTAAAACTCATTGTTATTTCCCTGGCCCACCATCTACTAGTCCTCATGAGACTTCGTCCACCTTGAGGCTAGCTTTGGAGATTTAAATTGAAACCCCAGAGCTTACGAGGGTATCTCAAACCATCCCAACATTTACCACCAAGGCACCTTTTGGGGTTTCAGTCTCAATATTATTGATATTTTCCTTTTATCCTTCTAAGCATTCTTTTCCTAAGCCAAGATCTTCTTGATGATTAGAAACTTGTATATCATAGCGTTCTTTTTTTTGGTGCACGTACTTGCACTTTGTGGTCAAGCAATCTCCAATTGTCATTACTACTGCGACTGCCTACTACTGTTCCTCGAGGCTGCTGGGTTAAGTATTAAAGTCAGAAAAAATAATTTACAAATAATAAACTGATCAATATAAATCATAAACCAATAGAGAAAAAATTATTGAATCATAGGACGAAAATTAGGCAATTCCAACATGTACTAATGTTTGGAGAAATAAATGAATCACCGACGAGAAAATTTCTAAACCAAACTAAGAAATCAAGTAATTCAGAACATGTATCCAAGAAACGTAATTACAACAAGTTCATTAGCATATTATTAGGCAAACAAATTCAAAGACAAAAACCATAATTACATGCATGAGACAGAATATGAAACTGCAACTGCAAAAATCGAAGGTACATACCTCCTGCAGCTGAGGCAAAATTTTCCCATCAGAAAACAAGTCAACAACAATTCCTGAATATTACAAATCAATATCAACAATACAAACCAAGAGCTTAATTTCTAGTTCCTCTAGAGAACAAAGAAGAAATTAGTTAATATAAAAAAATGTGATCAAGGTTTGAAATGTGGACCTCGATGGAAATGTCAAGGTCCCAATTTTATTCGATGAAAATTTTTGAAATTTTTTTGGAAATCATTAAAATGTATGAAAATTATTTGAATTAACTAACGAAACTATAATTGTGAATTAATTAGGCTATAATTGACTATTTTTAATAATCATACATTAAAATAACAATAACATTTGTACAAAGATGCTTGACGTCGACAAAAAGTTTGGACAAAATGACGGCAAATATATAAATATCTATGCAAATTGTTCAAATTAGTTAATAAGGGAGTGGCTGAATCCCAAATTCCTATTAACATGAAAAGAGGTTGGGCAGCTGACACTTCTTCTTGGAGGATTGAAATTAAAAAAGGAAAATGAACTTAAAGAAAAAAAACCCAAAAGTTTGTCCCCAATCCTAGTACCACATTGAAACCGTTGGGGAGGCGAGGAGTCCTTTATAAAATCCCTCCTCCTCTCTGTGTCTCTTCTGAAGCATCGCTTTAATATTTCATGGGCTAATGGCTATTAAGCTTTAATCCACAGGCTGTCAATGAGTGTAAAAAAAAAAAAAATTGATTGAAGTTTTTGACGAAATTTTGTGAGATATTGAAATTTTGCTAAAGTCGCTGACTTTTGAGGAAAATTGAATTTTCCCCTTGCTTGATGTGTCAAACTTGTCGACATTTGCTCAAAAATTGGAACATTGGATGTGATACAAAACTAGAATTGGAGATTTTTTTAAATAATGAGAAATAAATTTTTCATTGATATGATGAAACATACAAAAGGAAGGAGAAAACCCCATATTTTATTGTTATGATGAATTATACGATAGAAAGGGGAAACCCCCAAGCAAAAAATAACTATAATAAGGCCCTCCAACTCATCAAAAGATCGTTAAGCTATATTTAAGAAGACTGTGATGGTTGTAGTATGAGATAAGATTTATTCAATATTAAGTAGTCAAATATCCCTTGTCAAATTGATTATCTTCGTAGGTGCCATGGGGAAGGATTTCTTGGAAGAAAACTTTGGGTACTCCTATAGCTAAGGAAAGATCCTTCAGTAAGGTTGGTTTGGTAGATATAGTTTGGAGCATTTGGTTGGAGTGGAAAATAAGAGATTTTTCATAGTAAATCTTATGTTGAATGGGAGAAAACGTAATTTATTTCAATGATTCACTTCTAAGTTTCGATTCTCCCAGGTACGGAGATGTAAATAACGTCGGGCTGTATAGTTCTTGTGGCCCTTATCGCTCTAAATTGAAGATAGTTAAGTGGGTCGTTAGTAACTAAACATGGGTTGCTAGTTTATGTGACTGTTCTTTGGGTTCCCATAGTTTTTGGACCTTGTTTCTAGAGGGCACTTCTTTGGAATTGCCTATCTTAGCAGCATCTTGTACTCCTTCAAACGGAAGTCTTGTTTCCTCATATACATATATACATACATATAACCACGAGTTTTTCATACTTCCTGTGATCGAGTTTATCTAAAATGATATTAATGGATGGATGATAGAGAAGATGATGGGGATTTAATTGTCTGCTGCCCGATCTCTTTTCATGTAACTCTCTCCACAGATAAAAATTGTGTAAGAACAGTGAAATAAGGGATAAATGCATGAAAGGACAAAAACATAGTGCATATATTACAACTTCGTTCCCTAGAAAACCTAGAAAAGTAGAACTTTACCAGCATAACCCCCAGAGATTCTGACTGATGGGTCAAGGGCATCACCAATATGAATGTTGAGTATCCCGCCATCATGAGAATGCTTCTCAAGATCAGATAGCCCAAGGAAATCTCTTGCTTTATCAATTAGCTAAATTGTTCATAAACAAACTGTTCAAGACGAAATCACGGCAAAGATCAAAAAGATAAATGTAGTTTTAACTTTTAAGTAGCCATTTCAAAAGCAATTTCCTATACAACAGTCAGAATCAGTATATTCTTTCAAACACTGGCAACCACTTAAAATTTTAGAAGTTAAAATTATTGAGAAGGGAGAAAAACAGATCAATGGTGGGAATTGGGATAGATCCGAGACTAGCTCTCCTTACCACTCTATTTCACATCTTAAAGGGGTCAGACTAGGTCCAATTATTTTTACATGTAATTCAAGGTCAAGACAAGAAGTGTAAGTTGCAACTTGTCAACAAAATGATATTTGAAGAATTTTTCTCCATCAAATTTAAAATGAGAAATCCTACTCTACTGAAAATGAATCTCTCACTTATGAAAAATTTGTCATCTCCATTCTATAATTAAATCCAAGTCTTTTACATAGTTATTATAAAAAAACGAGCCTAGCAAATAATTTTCAAGGACACGCATCTAAGAGAGAAAGCAAGCCAACTCTGTAAAGGTACTTTGTAGAAGTTTATAAACCCACACCTAGTCACGGGTTCATCTTTTTTTAGTAAGGAAGGGAAAATATTTGAGGAATGAATATTCAACCATAAGAAAGTGGTGAGAATTATAAGCTTTACAACCATTAGTTTTGTTTCTTCTACGCAAGTGGCTCAGAGAAGTTAGAAATAAGCTTTCACCAGCATTTCAGGCAGGAAAAGACGAATTATAATCTCAAAAGGGTAAACCAAAAGAGATTCTTGCTGTTATGATTTTAAATTGCAGCAGAATAATAAACTAGATCTATTTATAGCAATTGCAAACATAAAGAAGAGAGAAAATTGATGGACACAGAGAACTTACGTTCTGACTAAGTCTACATCCACAGGTGAAGACAGTGAGAATATTTTCACTAATATTTAGGACAGGATTACAAAAGAGCTTGAGAAGCAATTTTCTCCGTAACCCAAAATATTAAACTCTCCAAAAATTAATTTCCAAATGCAATTGGAAATTAATTATAAATTAAACAAATAGCGAAATTCACTCAACTCACAATTTCACTCAAACTCACCATGCTTGAGAGAACTTAGGTAGGTGGCCTCCTTAAATAGGCCTAAAGCCTCCAGCCAAATCCCTCCACTTCCGATGTAGCACAGGAGGTGAACACCACAACACTTACAACAAGAAAAGGCCAGGCGGTTAAAAGGGAAATCCAGACTCAATCAGACTGGAGGCAAACTAATTGAAAACTTTGAAGGTTCTGCAAGATCCTAAATTCCCCTCTTCCATGGGCGCAATGAAAGATAAAAAATGATAGGGGGAAATTAAAAAAAAAAAAAAAAGATCAAAGATTTATATTGATTCACTCTCAACTTTCCTACGTCCTATCTCCTGCAAACTCAGCAAGATTCCTAAACTGATGATGATTTAACCTAAAGATCCATAAACTTCTATTTTCTCACGATCCAAAGTAATGCTTTGCTCTACATCTTTGAGGATGGATCTAAAATGATTTACCGTGTGCTGAACTTATAGGAAAATTCTTGGTCAATCCTATTTCTATTTGGAACCGTTGGATTTATTAATATTTGTGTAAATATTAGGTGTCAATATTAGTTGTCAATATTTAGTCTTTATTGTTGATATTCAGTCTTTATGGTGTTTATTACTTTCCTTGTTTGTAGTAGGTCATTCTCCTATATAAGAAGACCTAAGTTACATGTTTGAATTAAGGAGTATATTTTTTACTCTCTCAAATTAACATGATATCAGAGCTCAGGAAGTAAACCCTAACTCTCAAAACCCTAGCCATCATCAAAAATACGAAACCCTAATTTCAAAACCCTAGCCGTCAATCAAAACCCTAGCTGTCAATCAAAACCCTAGCCGGCATCCATTCCTCCTTCCGATAAGTCTACCTCCGACGAACTGCCCACGAGAACGCAGCTGTTGCCGTCGATCCGTCGTCCTCACCKTCGATCTGCACCGGTGACATCCGCACAGATCCGCCGCTACTCCCATCCGCGACGCAACCTGTCGTTCGCCGGTCTCCGTCATCCGCACAGATCCACCGCGACGTGACCCCTCATCAGTCGACCTCCGCGTCCCTTCGTCTGGTATTCGCGATCGCCCATCTTTGCCTGGCGCACATCCTTGCCGTCTTCGATCCGCCAGCACTCTTGTCGGTCACCATCTTCTGCTCACAGTCGACCTCTTCTGCTCGCAGATCTCACCGCCGCCTCTGTAATCACCGTCAATCCTGTCCGTCGGAGATTTTCTAAGTATTGCATTGTTCAGGGCTTTGGTTCAAATCGGTTCGGGTTGGTTCATCTGCCGTAACTTATTCTGACTTGGTTCGACTCTCCTAGTTATGGTTATCTCATTTCTAATATCAATTTGTGGCCTGATTTGATTTGGTTAATTACTATCTGGTGGTGTGATTCTGTTGTCAGTTTTTTGTTCAAGCAAAGTTGTTCAGGACAAGTTGTTTATTTAAAATGGTCCAAATCTCAACTGACAATGGTAGWGAAATGTTTGGTGATAGTCGTGGTGACTCAAGTATAGAGCAAATTCATCAAATCCTAAAATTGCTATCCTCCAATTTACCTTCTAATAACTCATGTGTATCCTTGACACAAACAGGCATTTATTCTAAGACTTTCTCGTGTAGTAACTCATCTCTATGGATTATAGATTCTGGAGCTTCTGATCATATGACAAGTTCTTCTAATCTCTTTGAATCATACCTTCCTTCATATTCCAATGAAAAAGTTAGAATTGCATATGGTAGTTTTTCTTCTGTTGCAGGCAAAGGAACCATTAAATTGACTGAGACCATTTCGTTACAGTCTGTCCTTCATGTAATCTTTTATCTGTCAACCAACTTTCTAAAGATTCTAACTGTCGTGTTACTTTCTTTGAATTCCATTGTATTTTTTAGGATCAGAACTCGGAGAGGATAATTGGCCGCGGTAGGATGATTGATGGTCTCTACTACTTTGATGAAGGTACCTTTAGTAATAAAATAACTCAGGGTCTTAGTAGTATTAGTTCTCTTCCATTGTTAGGGAACAAATTATGCTTTGGCATCGTAGACTAGGACATCCCAATTTTTTCTATTTAAAATATCTGTTTCCAAAGTTATTTAAGGGAATTGATTGTTCATATTTTAATTGTGAAAGTTGTTTTTTAGCAAAAAATCATCGCTCCACATATTTTCCAAAACCTTATAAAGCTTCCAAACCATTTTACTTAATTCACAGTGATGTTTGGAGTCCTTCTAAAATCAGTACTCATAGTGGAAGAAGATGGTTTATTACTTTCATTGACGATCATACTCGCTTGTCTTGGGTTTATTTAATGTCAAAAAAATCTGAGGTGAAAGACATTTTCAAAAACTTTTACGAGATGATTGAAACTCAATTTCAAACAAAAATTTGTATTTTACATTCTGATAATCGAACTGAGTATTTTAATGAGTTTTTGGGAAATTTTTTGAAAGAAAAAGGTATGGTTCATCAGTCTACTTGTCGGGATACTCCTCAACAAAATGGGATTGCTGAAAGAAAAAATAAGCATTTACTTGAAGTAGCACGTGCTATAATGTTTTCTATGCATGTTCCAAAATATTTATGGGGGGAAGCGATTCTCACAGCGACCTACCTAATAAATAGGATGCCTACTAAAGTTTTAAATTTCAAAACTCCCATTGAGTCATTTAAAAATATTTTTCCAACATCCCGCATATATTCTGATCTACCTCTCAAAGTTTTTGGGTGTACTACTTACGTTCACACACCTAGTCATTTCAGGTCGAAACTTGACCCTAGCGCTATTAAATGTGTTTTCTTAGGCTATGCTTCAGGTCAAAAAGGTTACAAATGTTTTGATCCTCAGACAAAATTTTTTTTGTGAGTATGGATGTGTCTTTCTTAGAAAATCAACCATATTTTACCCAAAATTCTCTTCAGGGGGAGAAAATGAATTTGAAAGATAATTTTTGGGATATTTCTGTTCCCCTTCCTAGTCCTACCTATTTGGATTTTACTAGTCCTTCGATGCCAAGCATAGAAACTATCCAATCAGGGGGAGAAATACTACAAAACGATTTTGCGWATYCTAGTTCTGAGTTAAMGTTTTATACTASAAGGAAATTCAATCAGAGGAACCAAGATCAAATAGTTACTCCTTCACAAAGCCAATCTGAGACTCYGAGAAATRAAACTGAACTGTCTGATAATCCTCCCTCTTCAACMTTGTCTGGTAATCCCTCTTCTTCAAATTTTCAAAATAATTCACCTGTTGTCTCTGACCTTGATGTYCYCATAGCCATTAGAAAAGGYGTTCGAAGTTGTACCAAATATCCTATTTCGAACTACATTTCATATGAAAAACTATCAAATAGTCATAAGGCCTTCACATCTAGGATAACTAATTTGTTTGTTCCAAGGAATATACATGAAGCTTTAGAAGATCCAAATTGRAAACTAGCTRTCATRGAGGAGATGAATGCTCTAAAGCAAAAAAGTACTTGTGAGATAGTAGAATTGCCAAAGGATAAGAAACCAGTGGGATGTAAATGGGTGTTTACCGTAAAATGTAATGCAGATGGTAGCATCGAGAGATACAAGGCTAGATTGGTAGCTAAAGGCTTCACACAAACCTACGAGATAGATTATCAGGAAACGTTTGCTCCTGTTGCAAAAATTAACTCTATTAGAGTTCTTTTGTCTCTTGCAGTTAATTCAAATTGGCCTCTCCACCAACTTGATGTGAAAAATGCTTTTCTCAATGGCAACCTTGAGGAAGAAGTTTTTATGGATTTGCCACCAGGTTTTGAAAAAGAACTCGGTTGGAATAAAATCTGCAGATTAAAGAAATATCTCTATGGCCTCAAACAGTCTCTTAGAGCTTGGTTCAAACGATTTGGAAAAGTCATATCGAGTTATGAATTTCTCCAGAGTCAAGCTGACCATACTATATTTTATAAACACTCTAAGAATAATAAAATCTCAATTCTGATTGTCTATGTAGATGATATTATTCTCACTGGTGATGATGAAGCTCAATTCTGATTGTCAAGAACTTGGGAACATTAAAATATTTTCTAGGAATGGAATTTGCAGGATCGAAGAAAGGTATATTCGTTAATCAAAGAAAATATGTTCTTGACTTACTTGGAGAAACAAGATTGCTTGGTTGCAGGATCGCAGAAACTCCTATTGAACCTAACTTGAAATTACAAGCAGAAAACGCAGAAGAAATAAAGGATAGAGAGCAATACCAGAGACTCGTGGGAAGATTAATTTATCTGTCACATACACGACTAGATATTGCATTTGTTGTAAGTATGGTAAGTCAATTCATGCATGCACCTGGACCAACTCATTTTGAAGCTGTCTACAGAATCTTGAGATATTTGAAGGGAACTCCTGGAAAAGGTATTTTATTCGAAAAGAATAACCACTTCCAAGTAGAAGTTTATACTGATGCATATTGGGCTAGAAGTACTACCGACAGAAGGTCTATTTCTGGTTACTGTTCCTTTGTTGGAGGAAACCTAGTTTAGAGCATTGGCTGGAGGAGCAAAAAAACAAAATGTAGTGGCCAGGAGTAGTGCTGAAGCAGAGTTTAGAGCATTGGCTCATGGAATTTGTGAAGGTATATGGATCAAAAGGATACTTGAAGAATTGAAGATTCCTCAGCCGACACCTATACGAATTTATTGTGACAATAAGTCTGCCATATCTATAGCTCATAACCCAGTGCTACATGACCGAACCAAACATATCGAGGTTGACAAATATTTTATTAAAGAGAAGATTGATGCAGGTACAATATGTATCCCTTATCTTCCGACAACAGAGCAAATTGCCGATGTTTTAACCAAGGGACTTCCAAAGAAACAATTCGACAATTTAWTCAGCAAGCTGGCTATGGACGACATCTTCAAACCAGCTTGAGGGGGAGTGTTGGATTTATTAATATTTGTGTAAATATTAGGTGTCAATATTAGTTGTCAATATTTAGTCTTTATTGTTTATATTCAGTCTTATGGTGTTTATTACTTTCCTTGTTTGTAGTAGGTCATTCTTCTATATAAGAAGACCTTAAGTTACATGTTTGAATAAAGGAGTATATTTTTTACTCACTCAAATTAACAGGAACGTTCGTTTAATCATTTTTTTGACGTTGTAGTCTTATTGATTATAAAATTCGTTAAAATGCTCTCCTCTTTTCCATTACTAAGCTTTTCATTTCTTTGATCTAATTGGAGATCTTTTTTGTAACTCTCTTCTTTTTTTATTTCATATAATCAATGAAATAGTTTTTTATAAACAAAATAATATTATGTATAATAAATTACACCATACTAAATTTAACAATTAGCTACTTTTTATTTCTAATTAAAACTGAACAATTAAAATTAGAGGGACTAAATTAAGTAATTAATTTTTATTTTAATAATTTTTTGTGGTTTTTAAGATTCAATGCTCAATAGTAAAATTAACGACCCAAAGGGGAAAGAAAAGAACGAGGAAGATACATGAAGATAATCTACGTTGTTTCTCAACTTCTCAACTTTCAGGAACAGGTAGGCAAAAAACAAATTTAGCTTACGATTCCATCAATCTCCCAACCTTCAAGCTGCAACGAGGGCCATGAAGTAAGCATCAAATGGGCAGTAGTCCCCCCTCCCTGAATAATAGCAGTTTAAGATTTCAGTTCGGTCATGAAATCACTAACTTGGCAAAGAAAATTTTCATATTTATTTCAAAAAGGTTGTCATTATTGCAGAATGAAGACATTTACCAATCCAAATATAGCAATTGGACCTTTTGGAATTATAGCTGGCAAGCTAGCAAACTCATCCTACAAGATGCAAAATACACAGAAATTGACAGTAAAAATAAATTCACAACTCTACAAAATAAATACAAAAAATGGTGGGTAATTATACTAAGCTTTTGAGCATAAAGAAACAATATAAATTATAAAATAGGCAAAAATGAGAATTATTGGAAGTTGAAACAGTATCCTTTTGATCATTACACCTATTAAGAATGAATAAACTACCGGTGAACCCAAAAGCTTAAGCTTTTGGTTATGGTAAATTTAATAATATATGAGATATTTAATCTAACACTCCCTTCACTTGTGGGCTTGGAAAATTGCAAAAAAACTCAACATGAAGAAATCATAATAAATAGAGAGGAAACAACAGTGCAGGGGTTCAAACACAGAACTTCCCGCTCTGATCCCATATTAAGAATGAATAAACTACCAATGAACGTAAAAGCATAAGCTAATAGGTTATGGTAAATTTAATCATATATGAGATATTTAATATTGTTGGTTTATTTGCGAATATGAATTGTAATTAGGTGTAAATATTAATTATTATTCTATCCTTATTTACATTCCTTTTATGTGTTGAGCCTTTCTCCTATATAAGAAGGCTATGTATTTCTTACTTAAAAATATTGGAATACAAATAATTTTATTCCATCAAAACTAAGTTGGTATCAGAGCGGGAGGTCCTATGTTCGAACCCCTGCATTGTCGTTTCCTCCCCATTTATTATGATTTCCACTTGTTGGGTCTTGATGTTGTTTTCCAAGCCCACAAGTGAGGGGGAGTGTTAGAATCCATATAAATGAATTAAATTTACCCAACCCATTAGCTTAAGCTTTTGGGTTGAGTGGTGGTTTGTTCATTCTTAAGAAATATAACAACATCCGACGAAAAATACAAAAGGAAAAAATGACTAAATATTAGTTATTTACAATGATTTCATGTTGAAGTTGAAATACGCAAGAAAAATAATTCTACTGCAGTAGTACTGAAAACATTGTTTAAATCTAATAAAACTAATATCTAGTGTTAGTCTTTTGAATACTCCCATTGATAATGTTATTACTTGAAATGAAAAAGATCACTTTGATCAAAAGAAAAATAATTCTTTCCTAATTTCAAAGAATGGATACAAGAGTGGACTAAATAGCAATTACAAGGAAGAGAAAAAAAAAGGAAAACAAAACAAACAAGGAGACATTTACCTAAACAATCAAGGAAACACTTACCTAAACATTCATGGAAACACTAAAAAATTTAAAGTTTTTGAAGAGATGTTCACCAATTTCTCCACAGTGACTCCCTATGGTATTTTTCAGTTTTTGTTTCAACAGCATTCTTTTCTTTTCTAGTGCGAGTAGTCAAGTTGTGTGGTACACGGGTTTCTGTTCAGAGTTGAATTATCAAAGTTTGTTGCCTCGATTTTCTTCCTCTTAATGTCTTGATTCTCAAGTTTTGGTGTGGCCATGTAGCTAGGTGCTCCTGCGGTCGTGGCGAGTCTCTTAAGGGGGGAGGATTCAATCTTTTCTTCTTGTTTTTGTTGTCCAGGTCTTTCAAGAGAGCTTTGCTGTTGAGGTTGATAATTTGATAAGGGCTTCTTTAAGTTCTAGAGTGGATTCCTTGCTGCTTAGTGGCACTTTTGTTTGATGAAAAAGTTTTCGTTTGTCAATTCTGATGGTTCTAGCTGCTTCTATTGGTTCAAGCTTCCAAAGTTTGTTTGCAGATGGTTTTTCTGTTGTAATAGAGAGGCTTTTTCTGAACTTTGCTTTTAAGTTTTCATGTCTTTTTTAGTTGGGCTAAGAAGCGATTGATTAAGACGTTCTGTGAATAGTGTTCTTTTAGGGCCTTACCTTTCCAATCATCACGAGCATAACATTTGGACACTACCACCATTGTCCCCCAATCAATTTCCAGAACATCTACATCTTTTTTAACACATTGAGCTAGGTTAAAAATTCTTCTTCACTACCTTTCCACTATAGGTTTCCGGTGTTATAAACTAGCTC